TATATATATATATATATGTCTACAACTAATATTAATTAAGTAAGTCGTCCTCACGACATAAGGCCTTGATCACAGATAACTCCCGATCCCGTCACATTCGTCCGAACCCGCAACATTAGAGGCCTTGGGAGCCTCAGGGTAAGACATAATAAGTCTACTGCATCTAACATAATGTTGTAACTGCATAATTGGCATTGGCACTACAGTTGTCGCCTACGAGACACTGGACGACGTGGAGGTTGCCGTGGCGACATTGAAAGGATCAACGTGGCCTTGAGCCCTGGGAAGGTCCATGGTACTCTGCTGACAACAGGAGTCTTTTCAGCATCAAGCCGACTGGGCCTCTGATCGGGGTCATCTCTGGGAGAAGAAGCCCGAGTCCCAGATGAAATCAACTGGACTCCAGAGGCCGTGCAAAAGCATGCACGTCTCTTGGGTGGCAGGACCCCAACCGGTCTCCTTCTTCGTGCAGATCTGCCACCGTCCAGCGAGAATCATCGACCACTCCATTGGGCATCATCGAGCACATCGAGCACTTCAGGGTCCGGGTTTCAATTTGGGAGGTTGGGTAAGACCCGGTGTAGCAAGTTCCAACCTTTCGGTTTTCATCAAATCTGTAGCAACACGGCACTCGAAAGCCAGCTAGGTGGTAACAACACGGCCGTTGTGAGCCTGGTGTAGGGAGAAAGCAGCCAGCATATTCAGGGGCCATAGCCAATTATTAATTGGTCACCAGCATGTAGGCCTGGGCTTGAATGTCGATTGAGAAGTTTGCACACCATGGTTTTGCAAGAAGGCATCATTGAATCGAGCTGACTCGTTAAGGCCGTGAAGCAGGTAACTGTTCAGCAATAAATTGCTGGTGATTCCGTTCCGTTCCTAGCGAAGTAGGCCAGGTAAATTAATTAGTATCGTTATAGTCCTAAACCCCTAATAAACCCTAAAGCCTACAAGCCCTAAGGTCCTCGTCCCAAAGGCCCAAAAACCCTCAACCCCCGAGGCTTCAAACCCTACAGCCCCAGACCCCAAGGCCCCACTAAAGCCTGAAGCCAGGTGCCCTTGACCTCAAGGCCCAGAAGCCCTGAACCCTAAATCGAAGAATCCCGAAAGCCCATAAAGGCTACAGCCCTTAGCAAAACCTTCTAAGCCGAAATCCAGTCACAGCATGCGACAAAGTCGAAATCCTCTTAAAGCCCTAAACCCTATAAACCCTAGACCCTGAACCCTAATATAGGAGCTGATCAGGTTTGGGATTGGCCTTGGGTTTAGAGTCGCCTTGCGGGGTTTTAGGGTCTAGGGCTTTTGGGTTCGAGGATATAGGCTGTATATGGCTATATCTTGACCGAAAACCCAAAAGCCCTATACCCTATAAACCCTAGACCCTGAACCCTAATAATGAGCTTTGGAGCTGATCAGGTTTCGGATTGGCCTTGGGTTTAGAATCGCCTTCCGGGGTTTTATAGGGTCTAGGGCTTTTGGGTTCGAGGAGATAGGCTGTATGGCTATATCTTGACCGAAAACCCAAAAGCCCTAAACCCTATAAACCCTAGAACCTGAACCCTAATAAGAGCTTTGGAGTTGATCAGGTTTGGGATTGGCCTTGGGTTTAGAGTCGCCTTGCGGGGTTTTAGGGTCTGGGGCTTTTGGGTTCTAGTGGATAATTGAGATAGGCTGTATATATA